CGCTGTTCCACAGGAACTTCGGTTCGCTGTTCCACAGGAACTTCGGTTCGCTGTTCCACAGGAGTTTCGGCTCGCTGTTCCACAGGAGCTTCGGCTCGCTGTTCCACAGGAACTTCGGTTCGCTGTTCCACAGGAGTTTCGGCTCGCTGTTCCACAGGAGCTTCGGCTTGCTGTTCCACAGGAACTTCGGTTCGCTGTTCCACAGGAGTTTCGGCTCGCTGTTCCACAGGAGCTTCGGCTCGCTGTTCCACAGGTACTTCGGTTCGCTGTTCCACAGGAGCTTCGGCTCGCTGTTCCACAGGAGCTTCGGCTCGCTGTTCCACAGGAACTTCGGTTCGCTGTTCCACAGGAGCTTCGGTTCGCTGTTCCACAGGAGTTTTGGCTCGCTGTTCCGTATTATAGTCAAACGTTGGTAGTGGAGTAGACGTAGTTAGAGAATCGTAGCTAGGCTAGTTACCTCGCTCCTGTAGCCGACCCGAATAACAGAAACCCGAGCTGCCGAACGAGCCACGATCCATCTACACAGCGTAACGCATCGGTTGCCGAATCTACCCTCAACGAGCTGTCGAACACGAACGAGCCCCGAACCATCTACACGAACGCATCGGTTGCCGAATCTACCCTCAACGAGCTATCGAACACGAACGAGCCCCGAACCATCTACACGAACGCATCGGTTGCCGAATCTACCCTCAACGAGCTGCCCAACCAGTACGAATGTCAATCCGCTCACGAAGACCTGGACAGCTGTTCCCGATCTACACAGCGTAACGCATCGGTTGCCGAATCTACCCTCAACGAGCTGTCGAACACGAACGAGCCCCGAACCATCTACACGAACGCATCGGTTGCCGAATCTACCCTCAACGAGCTATCGAACACGAACGAGCCCCGAACCATCTACACGAACGCATCGGTTGCCGAATCTACCCTCAACGAGCTGCCCAACCAGTACGAATGTCAATCCGCTCACGAAGACCTGGACAGCTGTTCCCGATTACCCTCTAATCGTCAACAACCCTCATCAACCGAACACCAACATCGTAATTCCTGATCATCGACAACCGGCGACCACAAGTTCCCGATTACCTTCAAATCGTCAACGCAAGCGTCACCCGAACGCAACATCGTAATTCCCTATCTTCTTCACAATCAACCTCCGACGGTCATCCCCGAGTATCCGATCGTCGACTAGCCACACTCATATCAACCACCCGAGTACTCATTGCGTACACCCGACATCATCACTCCCGATTGTTCACGAATCCCCGATCACCAATTAAGCAACATCACCTTGGAGTCACGAACATATCCGAAGTCCATTTGCCATCCTATATTCAATACTTATCTTATCGTATTTCAACCCGAGTAGATTGTAATCTAGAATTAAAGATCAATAAAACATCCGATATTTACCCCCAGGAAAGGGAGAAATCTACTCTTATTATTTCATAAGGTTTAGTGGGTCCTTATGGCGACCCTGGGTACAGCTGAGCTTACCTCAGCCGACGAGAAAACCACGTTACACTATACGAAGACGTGGACCTTCACTGACAATTTTCTGGCATGGGCTGAAGTATCCATTACGAACTTCACATGTCAAATTTGAAACAATCCCGGTAAATAATGTCGCTAAAATCATCAAAATATCGAATATCGGGGGGTACGGTATATGGGGGCTATACGAAGACGTGGACCTACATGGCCCATTTTCTCTTTTATGCTGCAGTAACTATTACGAACTTCACGTACCAAATTTGGAACGATTCCGTTAAATAATGTCGCTAAAATCATCAAAATACCGAATATCGGGGGGTACCGTTGTATGGGGGCTATACGAAGACGTGGACCTGCTCAGATGATTTTCTGTCTTAGGCTGTAGTATGCATTACGAACTTCAAATGCAAAATTTGAAACAATTCCGGTGTATAATGTCGCTAAAATCATCAAATCATCAAAATACCGAATATCGGGAGGTACCGTTATAGGGGGCTATATGATAACTTGGACCTACGTGGCCCATTTACGAACTTAACCTGCCTACTGGTAAAATATACATGTGTGCAAAATTTTAGCCTTCTATCTCAATTTGTTCGAAAGATAGCGTGATTACAACAGACAGACAGACGGACGGACATGGCTAAATCGTCTTAGAATTTTACGCTGATCAAGAATATATACTTTGTTGGGTCCGACATGAGTATTTTGAGGAGTTACAAACGGAATGACAAAATTAATATACCCTCCATAGTATGGTGGAGGGTATAAAAATGACGAAATATTTACTTCAAATGATGACATTTTTAACAAAGACTCGTTATAAAGTCGTTTATGCATCAATAAATCTAATTGATTCGTTTAACAGCCTTTTGATATTTTCAAGCTTTTCAAAGGGTTAATTTTCGGTAATATATCAATTTAATTATCTAAAAAATAAGTGTTTATCAATTCCAACTTAAAAAAGAATTTAAAAAGTTTTCATTTAAAAGAACTAGAGGAAAATATGTTTACATAAATTAAAGGATAGAACAAGTAAAAAACTACTTTTAACACCCTCCTTTATTTTGAAGAAACTTGAAGAATTTCAAAAAAAAATCCGTCAAAAAATACAGCACAAAGGAAAACCTTTATATGTGGTCTAAATGAAGACGTGGACCTACGTATACAATTTTCCGTCATAAATTGTAGTACTCATTACGAGTTTCAAACACGAAATTTCAAACAATTTTGGTGAATATTGTTTTAAAATCATCAAAGTAGCCAATATTAGAAGATATCGTTATATTGGGGATATGAACCTGCATACGAGCATTACGAACTTCAAATTCGAAATTTGGAACAATTTCGTTAAAAAAATTCGCTTAAATCATCCAAACAGCGAATATTGAGGAAACCCTTGTCGGGGGATATACGATAACGTGGACCTGTATCGACAATTCTCTTACAGTGTTAAAGTACTCAGAAGTAACACCTTGTAAATTTGGCTACATTCATCAAAAACCGAGTATCGGGAGGTACAACTGCAACTGCAGATTTTGGTGGCCAAAATGTTTGCTTGGCCCAGGCTTTAATATACCCTTCAGAATATTTTCGCGATAATATTCGGCATTTATTCTGATGCCACGGTCGATTAATACGAGCGAAGAGCGACCATCGGCTGTTATGGCGGCCTACACCATCACCATGGCCGGTGGTGAATGGTGGCTGGTGGCCAACCGAATGAGCACATTTTCAGCTGACCTTATTGTCTTACTTGCCAACACGATCATTTTGTATGTTTACAAACTGGACAAGCTGGACAACGAATGTTTTCTCATCGGGGAAAACCAAATTCGGCAGTTCGCCACTTTCGACCAAGCGAAGCAACTCTTTAGCTCCATTGAGTCTATTTTCTTCCTCTTGCGGTGTAAGTTCTTGCACTTTTTGAATTTCAATGGCTTTACGCCGAGCTCATTTTTCAATATTTGCCGAATGGTATATTGCGATATGTTCAGCTCTCTAGCCATTTTTCGGCTACTGCGACCCGGGCTTCGATCAAGTCGCTTATTTACTTTTCGAACCATTTCTGCTGTTGTTGCTGTTTCCTACCGTCCACTTCCTTGGCATCGGGCTACGCTACCAGTACGAGACACAAAAGATTTATTCACATTTAAATGCTGGAGTGCTCTAACGATAGCCACTTGTGGTTTACCAGCCAAATATAAAGAAACCACACTATCACGCTTGAATTCCATCACGAAAAAGTTTTTTTTTTCTGGAAAATTCTCACCAAGATGCTTTTGCACGCTTGTAAATTATATAATGAGCTATCACTGGAATAATTTTAACAACTTACGGACGAGTATCTTAGAAATGACAGCAGTCTGAAGTTGGTTGCAGGTTTTTCATCGCACCCTGTATATAGAATGTTTTATCCGTAATATCCAAATATCTTTTTCAACAACAACTAACACTGTAAAGAGTAGGCAACTCTGGGTTAATACCAATTTTCGTTTCTCCTAAAACTATGCAACATTTTGTGTATCTATGAAAAACAAGGCCAATAGGGTTGTCGATAATAGAAAAATCCCTTCATAGAGGATTTCAAGCGAATGTAAAATTTGTTGGAATTAATTTAAGAATTTGATTAAAAAATTGTGATAGTTTGTGGCCACTGAAGATAAGAACTTATAGAAGTTATCTGACTTATAATACGTTTATGGTTCACCGGATTTAAATGGATTATCATTGCATATATCAAATAAATCCTCATAATGGAGGCTAACATAGCAAAATGTTCTAAAGTAAACATTATATTATTAAAATTCAGTCTATATAATTTATAAAAAAATACGGTTGGAAAATAGCCAGGCTCATTGCTTGTTTTTCCAAGCAATGGAAATATTTACGAGGGCTTAAGTCATGGAATGCCATACGAATGTTTTAGTTGTGCTTTTAATATATTTTATTTATCAATCCTCTTAAATCGCTCTGCAAATCACAATTTTCGAACGATCTTTAATTCATATAAAGATTTCCTTTCATTACAATTTCCCGATATCCCGTAGAAAAGGTAATGGTACATACTGTACTCGAAAACTAACAATAATAAAAAAAACAAAAAAATGTTGACAATTATGAGCCGTTGATGAAATGATAATAACTTAAATATAAATCATAAAAATAAAATATTTATAAACTAAAGCATCAAATGTGTTAATAACATCACGATTCTGTTATCATTATATGGCCACGAGACGAGATTGCCTATATAAATGCCTTTTTATGTTTCTCTTTTTCTAAACAAAACATCACGAAATTAGAAGCAAAATAAATTAGATAATTGATTTTCTTTAGAACAAAATGTCTGGAATTCAGCTATCTTGTCTCGGGATGTTATAAATTTTTTTACAACTCTTATCAGAAGTGACTCAACAGATGGTTTCGCACAACGTTTCACATGTCGTTGTCGTTCATCAACATCCATTTAGTTTACAATTTAAATCTAAACGTTAGACACTTTCAGTTTTCCCGCGAACGTCAATAAATTCGAAGGTTTTGCGGGTATTTTTGTAAATTAGGTTTCTTTGAAATGGCTCAAGGACACTATAATGCGGCGTATGACGATTACGAGAGTAATGCGGAACCGAATCGGAGTGTTAGTGATATTTTATGATTCTTTTTCCTAGATTTTTCTACGACAGAAAAGGATTTATTTTGAGTGGTTTTTACATATGCCGCAAGATAGTCTTCAAAATTGAAAGTGTATTTCTACAACACTTATATAGAAATCAGAAACAAGTGCCAAAATATACAAAAAAGAAGAAAAGCATAGGTGTACGAAATAGTGTTGAAGTGGTGTTAAACGTGTACCCAAATTCTTAATTATGGATGCTGATTGTGATTCTGCTAATTTTTCTGAGCTTTAGCTTCGCGGTTTTTGTGCAACTCGACAGCTTAAAAGCAAGAGAAGGAATTTGACATTCGGATTCGATATTTTTTTTTACAGAAACCCATTTGTATGAAAAATGTTTCCGTTTTCCTTCGAGTTATCGATTCTATTCCCCATTCGAGTAAAGACAGAAATAGACAAAGAAACCCAATACACAAATAGAAATTTAGAGAAACAGGTCAATAAATTGAATAGTTTTTTTTTTTAATTTTGACCATTCTTGTATAACGATATTATTTTATTAAAATAATTGACAAATTTTATTTCGCCATATCGTATTATCAAGAACGTGTTGAAAATTTTACACCTGCGGCTTCCACTTAAAAAATAATTAAAATTATTATTTACATTCCGAAAATATAACTTCAACTTCAAATTTAAAAGATCGATAAGGAAGTTACCAATTTCGTGGAACTCTTGACAATTCCCTCTCTCTCTCTCTCTCTCTCTTTGCTCACAAATATTGTGGTGATCAGTGTGGCCATTTTAGCATATTTGTAGCTAAATTTAGCATTTATTTTTTGTATTTAGCCGCAAAATTTTCATTATAGCATTTTTCTTAGCTTTTTGAAATTATTACTTTAGCATTGTTTTGTCCAAAAATTTTATTATGTTTTAGTACTTTCTTATAAATCCAATTTTTCTTAAATCTAAAAAATTAAATTACATGAACATTTTGAACGAAATTACTATTTTAGAAAGCAATGGCAAAAGCTAAGTACATATGAATGGACAAACATAAACTCAACGATTTATTTTTGGATATGTGTATAAGAATTTAAAAATGCTTTTGTTATGTAGTGTCCAGTTTTACCATTTAGTAACGCAGAAGTGGAAAGAGTTTTCAGTGGCATTAACCTTATAAAAGCAGAAATTAGAAAATGATATTATACACTATGAATACACTTATTTACATTAGATACGGATTGAAAAGGTTAATTCGCCTGGAATTCACTTTCAGCATTTCGGTGAAATATACATTTTGGTATTATTTTCCACAAAAATTGGGGACCATTTTTTTCCGGGCCGATACCGAACCCTTACTAAAAATTTCCTAAGGATCGGACTTTTTTAGTTTTTGGTCCATTTGAAAACCTAAACATTTTGCGATCATGACACTAACCCCACCTCCATCCAACATTTCGTGAGGATCGGGCCATAAATGTGCTCTGTATATAATATTCTAACTATATAGTGTTTTAAGGAGTAAAAATATTACAAAATGTAAAATTCAATATTGTAAGTCAAAATGAAAAAAATATGTCGTATATATATATATCTAATATCTTAACTATCGACATCTACGTAATGGTCAGAATTGACCTTTTCGGCTATTTGTAATTTCACCGTGATTAAGAATATTCGCGGTTTAATGGGAAAATTGTTTTTTTTTTTAACACAAAACTTATAGTCTAGTTCACCCGCTCAACATTATCCGATGACCATTCAAATTGAAAAGCCTAGTCCTAAGCTCTAGTCCCATGCGTCGATTGGTCTATAATTGTGACCTGTAGAGTGATGGCAAATTAACATAGCTAGATCGGCTCAGCTCAGCGAGATTGGAAGACCAATGTGTACTTTTCTATGTGGACAGCCAAAATTTTCGAAGTGTTACATAAATTTTGACCCAATCAAACTTATAATACCCCTAACACATGTGTTGCAGGGTTCAAAAACGTATTTATATTTGGAATTTTTTTGGCATTTTAATTTTTTTGTTTGTCATTTTTTAGCATTGTTTTTATGCAGTTTTGGCTGCAACACTATTTTAGATCTGATCACACTGGTGGTGATAGTTGCACTTAACCAGCGGTGCTCAAGAACAAAAGCCCGCTCGCCAGTCCTTTTCTCTCTGCTTTTAGAAATCATCAAAAATCATTTAACTCAACATTAACTTCGAATGTCCTCAACCATTTGGTACAAATTTGGCAATTTTCAAAAATAAAACCGGATAAAAATTCTGTTAAAATCTTAAAAATACCGAATGTAGCCATATGTTAGGGTATATTGGGGTCTATACGACGACTTGGATATGCATATGCAACTTTACTCATAAGATATTACAATATTCAAATGCGAAACTTAAAAAAAAATCAGTTTATAATGTAACTAAAATCATCAAAATACCGAATATAGGGAGGTATCATGGAGGTTATAAAACGTGGACCTGGACAGACAATTTTCTGGCATAGGCTGTAGTATCCATTACGAACTTCAAATAAAAAATTTGAAATAATTCCGGTAAACAATGTCTCTAAAATCATCAAAATACCCAATATATGAAGACGTGGACCTGCACAGACAATTTTCTGTCATAGGCTGTAGAACCTATTACGAATTTCAAATACCAAATTTGAAACAATTCCGGTAAATAGTGTCGCTAAAATTATCAAAATAAAGAATACCGTGGGTACCGTTCTGCACTGATAATTTTCTGTCATAAGCTGTAGTATTCATTACGAACTTTGAAATAGTTCCGGTAAATAATTTCTCTAAAATGTTCAAAATACCCAATATCGGGAGGTATCGTTATATGGGGGCTATACGACGACGTGTACCTACATGGCCCATTTTCAATACCAAAAGTCCTGCAGACATAATACATATTTGAGTAAAATTTCATCAACCTACTTAATTTCGTTCGGAAGCTAGAGTGATTTCCACAGAAGGATAGACGGACAGGCGAACGGACATTGCTAAATCATAACTCCCAAAAATAAAGAAATGCAACTGATAATAAATCTATCCTCAAATTAAAAATCCACTATATAATGCAATTGCCATATGTCTTCGAGGAGTTCTGCGATGGTTTGTGTTCTGCGGATTTACGTGGGTTTCCATCAAAAAAAGAGATGTATTGATGATCGCTTGATGTGTAGGTTTCTAAGACCTTCCACTCTTTTATTTTGTTTAGCAAGTTCTTTGAATCAAAAGTGATATCTGGATCGGTTGTTGGCATTCCCTAATCCGTAGCATGAGAATTAAAGTCTCCAGCTACTATCATGTCTTCGTATTGAGTCCTTGCAAATTCTTCAATGGAGTCCAAATTTCGCTTGAAAGGTTTTGATATTGTCACTAGGTGTGAAACAACAGCTTATAATAATCATCTTATCAAGCAGAAGCCCGGATATACGTGACTCTTTTTCACATCTTTTTTATATTCTGCCTGTTATCTGGAAGCCATATTGCTGCGGTTTTTTGACCTTTTTCTATCTGGACCTTTACAATCCCATGGCAAGTGTCCCGACTGAAAGCATTTATAGCATCTCTTCGCCTCGTTTCGATATTTGACACGACAATATGTCCATCCAATTAAAATCCTCTATTTTTCAAGCAGAGTATTCGCATTTGCTGCAGATAGTGACACGAAAGCCTTATTTCTTTTCTCGGCTATTTGTTGAGGTGAGTCGAACCTCGATGTCTTCGTTCGCAATCTTTGTCATCTTATTTATTGATCCAAGCACTTCTTTTTCCATGGAAAGTGCATCAAGGTCAAGAATCTATTGCATCTATTGTTGCCTTTGACTTTCTACTTTGGACTGTCTTTAACGGAGCCCATTATAGCTTCTCGACTATAGACTCTCTCCGTTTCGAGGCTCGACAATAACAGCGTTTGAAGGTTCTTTCGGTCTTTTATGACGCGATTTTCATCTCTTTGCTACTCTTTCCCATTCATATGTCTTCTCCACCTGTGCTGTATGAGTGTTTTCCTCGAGTAGTGTGTGTTGATTGCATCATCGGTATATGCGGGGGTGTTCCGCTTTTTCCAGCTTCCTCGACAGTCTAGTAGTTCCCCTAGTTCCTTTATACCTGTTTGAACATTCCCGCTAATCTATCGCTGCTTATTTATAGCTGTTTTCATTTTCCTAAACACGTTTTCACAGTTTGCTATGGCTTTCTCCTCAGATGTTCTTATTTTAAGAATGAATTCCTGGTTTGGAGAGTTATGAATCAAAGTAATACTTTCTGTAAGGGGTTCTTCTGTATTTGTTTGTAGAGTTGCTACGATGCTCTAGATTTGGATTTCTTCCTCTTTTATGCCTACTGCCGGAGTGTTCACGGGAGTTCTTTTAGTATTTGAACTTACGCGGAAAGCATTTTCTCCTTCTGTGTTTTTGGGATGATTCTATTGGGTCTCAATTCAAAGCAGTTATGCTTCCTCGTTTTGCAGTTAAGTAAACCCGAGGGTACATTTGCAAGCATTGAGGTCCTCTCGAGGGTTGACACAAGACCTTATGAGTATTGTGTTCAGTACCGGGTCGGACATTAATTAGGATAATCAGATAGACTGATCCTACATGGTCCGGCGGCTTCCGTTCGCCATGTCGTAAGAATCCTTGTCGGACGTGTCTTTTTATAACATATCCTCCTCATTCACCGCTCAATGGTCTGGAACTACTTATTTCGCTGACCAGCACATCTTTAGGCTGTTCAGTTAACCGCCACCTACAACCAACGTAGTAGCTCCGAGCTTGAAGCCTATGGATAATAATAATCTAATACTGATGAAATTGTAAAGAAAATGTAATATTTATTTTCGAATAATTGTTAATTAAAATTTTAACTTTTTGTAGGTAAGGTACCGGGAGTAGTGGGCCGATGAATTCCCTAACACCATATCTCTGGTTGAAAGAAATATTTTGATCTACAAAGTTTGAAAAGAATCGTTGACTTGTTTCGCATTTATGTCAGCTATAAGTATTGAAATTGTAACCCTTTGTGCGAAATGCACGAGAAAGGGGGACCGATATGTCTCATCTTTGCACCAGATTTTGTGTTAGTAGAAATATTCGGATGTGTGAAATTTGAAGAGAATCGGATGCTTATTTCGCTTTGGAGCGTTGGTTTTTCAAAATGTTGACCCAGTACTCTATAGTACTCTATAGGCCTATATTCAAGCCTTCGTTGTAGGGGATGTTAAAAGTCAAATTCCATCCAATTTTATGACCTTTTCATTTATTCCATTTAGAAACCTACAATAGAGGCAGATCTTGAAAAACCTCCTCCCCCGAAGAGAGACAAATGGGGTAATGACATTGAATTCTTAATGTCCTGCATTGCTCTCTCCGTTGGACTGGGTAATGTGTGGCGATTTCCATTCATAGCCCTGGAGAATGGTGGAGGAGCCTTTCTGATACCCTACGTTATAACACTGCTGCTGGTTGGCAAACCGATTTACTATTTGGAAATGATTTTGGGACAATTTTCCAGTCGAGGCAGTGTTAAGGTCTTTGAATATGCACCGATTATGAGAGGTGAGTTGGAGAAACTTTTTTTGTCAAATATTTCGTACTTTTAAATAAATATTACAATTTTCAGGCATTGGTTATGGCCAAGTCCTTACCACATTTTTCATTTCAACCTATTATTCCTCGTTGATGGCCATAACCCTGCGCTATGTTGTGGATTCACTTTATGCCACCTTGCCATGGAGTTATTGTCGAGAGGAGTGGGGCCAGCTGTGCATTGATTCAAAATTACAAAAATCATCCACAAATCAAAATTTGTCAGAAGTCAAGAAAACCTCGGCGGAATATTATTTTGTGTAAGTTTTGGCAAAACCCCATTGATATTTTTTCAAAATATTAATAATTTCAGAAATATAGTTCTCCATGAAAAACCGAATATTGATGATGGTATTGGTGTGCCCAACTGGGTATTGGCCATAACTTTGGCCTTTGCTTGGCTGGTAATTTCTTCGGTTATCATTAAGGGCGTCAAGAGTTCTGGCAAAGTTTCCTATTTTCTGGCCATGTTTCCCTATGTCATCATGTTGGTGCTGCTGATACGTTCCTTAACACTGCCGGGGGCATTTAATGGGGTTTTGTTTTTCCTAACGCCACAATGGGATAGACTCTTGGATGCCCAGGTTTGGTATGCAGCGGTAACGCAGGTATTTTTCTCCTTGACGGTGGGCTATGGTGTTATACCGATGTATGCCTCGTTTAATCGTTTTCGTCATAATATTAAGCGGTAAGTTTGACATGAATTGATGGCTAAAACGGAAATTATTTAAAAATCCTCTTATCTTTTAGTGACTGCAACATTGTAACCACCTTGGACACATTTACCTCCCTTTTGTCGGGCGTTGTTATTTTTGGCATTTTAGGTCACTTGGCCCATGAATCGAACACAGATGACATTAAGAGTGTGGTGAAATCGGGTCCCGGCTTGGCTTTTATATCCTATCCAGATGCAATTGCAAAGCTGCAGGCGGCTCCTCAGGTATATATTTTCACAACATATTCGAAGACTCGAATTATATTGTAACCCTCATTCTAGGTCTTCTCGGTCCTGTTCTTTTTCATGCTGTTTACATTGGGAGTGGGTACCATAACTGGTGTATTTTCCACTTCCATTACCGTAATATGTGATCGCTTTGTGTCCGCAAAACGTTGGATTGTCGTCATTGTCATGGCCACCATTTGTTACTGCTTCGGTTTGATGTACATCACGCCGGGTGGCCAGTTTATGTTGAACTATATCGATTTCTATGGCGTTACCTTTATAGCAATTGTCTTGGCTATAGTGGAGTTGATTTCAGCTGCTTGGATTTATGGTAAGGATACATGAAACATAAATCCATAAAATTTTGGTGTAGATCATCCGATTGAAGATAAATTAATTTTGCCATTCCCTTTGTGAGCCACATAAACTTAAAATTCGGCCAGTCCGAATGAGAAGAAACAAGTAAAAAAGCAGTAAGACAAATCTATGTCTGCGTGTAAAGTACTCACAAGGAACTCCTTGTGTGGATTTCCAAAATACCTAATATCGCGAGGTATTGTTATATGGGAGCCATACGTTATCGTTAACCTATATAGAGAATTCTCCGTCGGGGGGTAAAGTGCTCACAAAGAACCCCTTGTGTACAAAGAACCCCTTGTGACCATTCCGTTGAAAAATATGGCTAAAAACATCAATATACCGAATATCGGGGGTACCGTTATATGAGGGCTATACGATATCGTGGACCTTTATAGATAATTCTCTGCCGAGGTATAAAGTACCAACAAGGAACTCCTTGTGTGGATTTTCAGACAATTCCGATGAAAAATGTGGGTAAAATCATAAAATACCGAATATCGGTGGGTACCGTTTTATGGGGGATATACGATATCGTGGACCTGTATAGACAATTCTCTCTCAGGGGGTGAAGTACTCACAAGGAACTACTTGTGGGGATTTTAGACAATTCCATTGAAAAGTGTGGCTAACATCATCAAAATACCGAATATCGGGGGGTACAGTTATATGGGGGATATACGATATCGTAGACCTATACAGACAATTCTTTTTGAAGGGGTAAAATTCCCACAAGGGACTCCTTTTGTGGAATTTCAGACAATTCCATTGAAAAATGTGGCTAAAATCATCAAAATACCGAATTCCGTGGGGGTACCGTTATATGGGGGCTACACGATATTGTGGACCTATATAGATAATTCTCTGCAGAGGTATAAAGTACCCACAAGGAACTACTTGTATGGATTTTCAGACAATTCCATTGAAAAATGTGGCTAAAATCATCAAAATACCGAATATCGGGGGTACCGTTATATGCGGGCTATACGATATCGTGGACCGATATAGCCCATCTTCGAACTTGCCTGCAGACAAAAGAGAGATATGTGCAAAATTTTAGCTTCCTATCTTAGTTCGTTTAGACTGTAGCGTGATTACAACAGACGGACAGACGGACGGAAAGGGCTAAATCGTCTTAGAATTTTACGCTGATCAAGAATATATATACTTTGTTGGGTCTAAAATGATTATTTCGATGAGTTACAAACGGAATGACGAACTTAATATACCCTCCATACCTTTTTTGGTGGAGGATATTAAAACATTTGCATAAACATAGATATGTTTGGTACTGAAAACGAGACATATTGGCCTCTGTTTTGCTAGAGTCTCTATAAAAGTGAAAATTAAGGTGCACAGAATTGGTATGTGAATATTAATTATTTTATTTGATCGCCATGTCAATGTAAGTGGACATTATTGATCCAGGTTTATGCATAGACCCTTTTGATGTCTTCAGGCACAATTTGTAACTCTATCAGTCGCAATTTGAATTTCGCTATAGGTCCCGTATTTGATTTGAGTTTGGAATTTTGGTAAATTTTCCATACACAAAAGGGACGAACCTATTTCAGATGGGATAGCAGCAAAATCATTGCTGAGTGCTCCCTGCACTAGTTTCGATTCGGTCAGCGTTAGAACCTACTTCATACTAATATTAATATTACAACGTACCCGATTTGGATACGTTCATTCACTTTATATGAGATGTACGATTTATTACGCCAATTTTCGATTATTTAAAAAAATTTTGACTTGCGTTATTATAATTAAAATGTTGATCATCTATTGAGATGGTACGAAGGAGTGGGCCAGGTTTAGACTATATCGACTACTTCCTTCACTTTACATGAGATATATGATAATTTTTCAAAAATGTTGAAATGTGCGTGACATTCCACATGTGTATTCCCCTTCGTATAATAGTTATACAAATTTGAAAAATTGAGTTGCGGATACATACCATATTGACATTAAATCTCTGGTTGAGGGAAACATTTAGATACTTCTAGAATCTCTGACTTGTTTAGCAAGTTATGTGAAATTTAAATGGGTGGGCCTATTTGTATCATTCATTAGTAAAAATTTTGGGATAGTGAAATTTAAGGAACATTGGAGGCCTTTTTCGCATTTTATGATCGGTTGGGTTATTTATAATATTACCCCTTTGTGGGGGACGTACCAGATGAAGTGGACCGAAATATTCGATCTTTACATCAGATTTTTTTGTTAATAAAAATATTGAGATGTATCAAATTTCTGATGAAAATATTAGGATTCGCAAATTGGATTATCATTTCATTGTCTGTGCAGTAAATTTATTCCATGGAAAATGTTTACATTTTGTGTGGGAGATACCAGAAGAAGTGGACCGACATTGCCCATCTCTGAACTCGATCTAAGTTTGACAATAATATCACGATGTACTAAGTTTGGATCACAGACAGACGGACTCCAAATGTCCTGAAACCGAATTAGTCCAAAGGGACCTAAGGTGTAAAACCATTATTTCGGTGACGCACTTTTAGCCCGTATGAAATGATATATACCCTCTCTAGTCATATGGCTGAGGGTATAAAAAGCTGCTAAGTTCGGCTGGGACGAACTTTTAATACCCCTGATAAATTGGAAGGAACTTCAAAAATTAAAAAAAATCCTTCGAAGAAATAAATGACCAGGAACATTTTACAATATGCAAACAATATACTTTCCAATTTTGCTCCAAATTTGCAAATCCCAATATTAGCATCGGTGTTAGGCCAGGTATGAAATTGGACAATATCTGCCCACCCTATCATGTACCTATCACAAATGGTCAAAATATTGAATAATTATAACTCTCATAAAAAAACCAGTAAGGAAAGCTCAAAAGTCGGGCGGGGCCGACTATATGATACCCTACACCACTATGCATATTTAGTAGAGCTCTCGTAAAAAGGTTTATACAGGGCATTTCAGAGCTCTATGAGATATTTGGTACAAAATCAAAATCTATCTAATTCTATCGTGCATTTTACGAACTATAGCTATCTCTGAACCGGGTTTCTCCAAATTTTACGTATTATCTTCTAGACTGGTGATTTGGGCTGACATTGACCATTTAGTGCACATTTAACCCGAAATCGGATGAAGATATATATGAGAGCTATATCCAAATCTGAACCGATTTCGATAAAATTTAAAACAGCTATTCCTGTGCTCCATCTAATACCTGGTACCAAATATCACGGTTGTGGAGTGAATATTACGAATGTATGGGACTAAAACTCTAAATCGGATGAAACATATATATGGTTGCTATATCTATATCTGAACCGATTTTCACTAAATTTGATATACATGCTTCTAGGCTGAATTTGGTCCGATGTACTAAAATTCAGTCCATTTGGACATATATCGGCCATTTGGTGCACAATTAACCCGAAATCGGATGAAGATATATATGGGAGCTATATCCAAATCTTAACCGATTTCGATAAAATTACAAACAGCTATTTCTGGGCTGTATCTTATATCTGGTACCAAATATCATTCTTGTGGAGTGCATATTACGAATGTGAGAGGCTTAAACACCAAATCGTATGAAAGATATATATGGGAGCTATAGCTATATCTGAACCGATTGTCTCCAAATTTGATATACTTGCTTCTAGGCCGAACTCGGTTGGGTGTGCCAAAATTCAGGTAATTTGGACTGATAGTGGATATTTGGTGCACATTTAACCCGAAATCGGATGAAGATATATATGGGAGCTATAACTAAATTTGATCCGATTCCCACCAATTTCAATAGGGTTCGTCCTTGGGCCAAAAAAATATTGTTTGGAAAATTTCATCTCAATCGGATAATAAATGCAACCTGCATTTTGTTCACAAGAATACATGGACAGACGGACGGACGGACGGACAGACGGACTGACATGCATAAATCGACTCAGAAAGTGATTCTATGAAGGTTCTCAAAAGTAACTATGGGTCTATCTCGTTTCCTTCTCCATGTTACAAACAAATGCACAAAGACATAATACCCTTACCACTATGTGGTGTAGGGTATAAAAACAAAAAAAGTATCCGATTATCATGAAATTTCACACATCACAATATTATTATTAACCCAAGGTCTGGTATGAAGATGGAATATATCGGTTCACTCCTCCTGGTACCTCCCCCACAAAAATCAAAATTTTGTATATATTCATGAAGCTTATATAACCCAAAATTAACATCCGATTCTATTCAGACTTGACACATCTCAATATTTCCGTCATCACAGGATATATTATAGAGATGGTAGAGATCGGACCATTCCTTGTGGTACCTCCCCCACAAAGGGTCAAAGTTTTTAATAACCAAAACGATCATAAAATCCGAAATATGCATCCGGTTCTCTTCATATTTCACAAATCGCATTATTTCTGAATGTAACCATTCTTGGGTGACGCGTGCTGAGGCAAGTTCGGCAGTTCACCACTTTCGGTCAAGCGAAGCAACTCTTCAGCTCTTCTGAGTATATTTCCTTTCTGTTGCGATGTAAGTTCTTGCAGTTTTTGGAATTTCAATGGCTTTAGCCCGAACTCATTTTTCAATATTTGCCGAATGGAATATTGCGATATGTTCAGTTCACAAGCCATTTTTCGGCCACTGCGACGCGTGTACCGATCAAGTCGCTTCTTTACTTTTCGAACCATTTCTGCTGATGTTGCTGTTTTCTTCCGTCCACTTCCTTGACGTCGGGCTACACTACCAGTATCACGGCAACGAGTGATGGTACGAGACACAAATAATTTATTCACATTTAAATGCTGGAGTGCACTAACGATAGCCACTTGTGGTTCTCCAGCCAAATATAAAGAAATCACACTATCACGATTGAAGTCCATCACGAATAACGTTTTTATCTGGAAAATTCTCACCAAAATGCCTTTGTACCCTTGTAAACAATATAATGAGCTGTTACTGGAATAATTTTAACAGCTGTCGGACCAGTGGCTTAGAAATGACAGCAGTCTGAAGTTAGTTGCCGTTTTCTCATCTCACCCTGTATATGGTCATCCTGTCTCTAAAATATTTAAGTTTTGTAAAAGCTATATTCTTTCTTCTGTTGATTGTTATCGGCTACGATATCAACTTTGTCTTAACATTTTTATTTCAGGCGTTAAAAGCATTTGCAGAGACATCAAATTCATGTTGGATATCAAAACCTCGATCTACTATCGCTTGTGTTGGGGCGTTATTACACCGATATTTATGACAGCGATTTTGATTTACATGCTGGTCGATTACAAGCCACTGACATACAATGATGTGGCATATCCTGAGTATTTATACGGTAAGACGATTATTTGAAATTAATTTTCTACAACACCTAACTGGCTTTCATTTCAGTTCTTGGTTGGTGTATTTCTGCCATAGGCATTGGTCAACTCATCATTTGGGCCATGTATGCGATATATGAGGCACCTGAGTTAAGTTATTGTGAAAGATTCAGGAATGGTTTTAAACCTCTATCAGATTGGGGTCCACTAGATCCGGAAACATTAAAAGACTACAAACGTTATGTGGAAGATCAGAGGAGAAGTTCGACGGCGCCGAAAACTTCGTTTTGGTCAAAAATCTGTGATAATGTTTTTGGTTAAGGAAATAAATAGATTTTATGAAAAAAAAAAAACATTTAATTTATTATTTTAAATGGCTTGTTTTCAAACAGAGAGCATCACACATTGGCAGTGAGGACCACGTATAATGTTGTTGTGATAGCCAAATTTTTCTAAACATATTCCCATTACTCCACCGCGAACTAGTGGTGATGCCGGGTATAAAAGGACAGTAGATAGCAGAATCGTGACAGTCAGTGTAAAGCCTTGCAGCGACAACATCGACCTCGGTAAGTAAACCAACATTGCTTCGAAGCCTCGGACGTCCATGTGCATCCTGAGAATCTCCTTGCCCATTCTGGAGACGTCTTTGAAGGATCCTGTGTGAGTTCCTAGACCTCCTTAGTGAATTATTTTATCATCCTTGAATATCCAGTAGTGGTTGAGTAGTTATAAAGGTCTCTTTCAACCGAATCCCAAATCCTTGTAGTGCTTGAGGACTTATTAAGGTCTCTTGCAACCGTATCCTACATCCTTGTAGTCTGTTTGACTACTTATTAAGGTCTCTTGCAATCATATTCTCGAATATCCTGTTGTGCTTGAGTACTTATTAAGGTCTCTTATCATCCTTGCATATCCTGTAGTGATTGAGTAGTTATTAAGGTCTCTTTCAACCGAATCCTAGATCCTTGTAGTGCTTGAGTACTTATTAAGGTCTCTTGTAACCGTATATTTGAATATCCTGTAGTGCTTGAGGACTTATTAAGGTCTCTTGGAACCTTATCCTAGATCCTTGTAGTCTGTTTGAGTACTTTTTAAGGTCGCTTGCTATCATATTCTTGAATATTCTGTAGTTTGCTTGAGTACTTATTACGGACTCTTGCAACCATATCCTAGATCCTTTTAGTGCTTGAGTACTTATTAAGGTATCTTGCAACCGTATCCTAGATCCTTGTAGACTGCTTGAGTACATATTAAGGTCTCTTGCAACCATATCGTAGATCTTCCGTATCCTAGATCCTTGTAGTCTTCTTGAGTACTTATTAAGGTCTCTTGCAACCATATCCTAGATCCTTTTAGTGCTTGAGCACTTATTAAGGTATCTTGCAACTGTATCCTAGATCCTTGTAGTCTGCTTGAGTAGTTATTAAGGTCTCTCGCAACCGAATCCTTGAATATCCTGTAGCCAGCTTGAGTACCTTTCAAGGTCTCTCGCACTGAATCCATCTCGAATCTTGAGCACCCAACTTCTGTGCCCTAGTCCCGTTTCTCGAGGGCTTATCTTAGTTGAAGAACCACTCCCTCCATCCCGTACCGAAGACGATACGGATCATTTTTATTTACTGTATAATAAACATAGTATAAGTTCCTCTCTCAATAAAACGTCAAATTAAACTCAAACCACTGTTTTTCTCTTTCTGTCTCAACAAAAAACTTTTTGTTGTACGAACCCCTGGACCCCGGCGAGCTATTCCAGCCCAAGGAGAGCAATCCAGTCGTTACAACTATATTAAGAGGAATTCAACTGTTAATTCCTTTGCGTACATTAAATCGGCTCTCAAATCCAGGGGATTTCATTTGACGTATTCGTAATGAAAGTAACAGCTAAAATCCTCTGGATTTTTTTTGTGTCCGACGTTTTAATATATTTTTATACCGCATCTGAGACTACGATTGTGGATTAAGAGACTACTCTCAATCTCTCTCAATACTCTCTCAAGAGATGATTTGTTATTAAAGATTATATTTCATGTTTTTGCTATGTTAGGTTCACCCCAATGTTTTGTAATGAGATGCTGCCTGTAACCGCTTAAAATCGGTCCATACAGCTGATTACCTCTATGATTTCATTACAACGGGGATTTGGCAGTGTTGCGTGAGTCTACTTTTTTTTTCTTATTTTGTGATAATGATTTCATGCACGAGAACTGTTCTCTTCCTTATCGCAGTGCAAAACCGAAAATGAATAATATTCTGATTTTACTTTCCGAAAATTTTGTTTGTGAAAGAATGTAAACATTGAGACAGTTTAAGCAGAACTCTATATTCGTAAAGTCTGTGCATTTAACTCGCGTGTCAATAGAAGTAATGAATCATTAAGAACGCCATTACGAAAAATAAATATTGGAACAATGCTTGATTTCCATGGCATCGAAAATCCAGGTTATAATATTCCGACACCGTCATCGACTGGAGTTTCTTCATCATCGAGTTGTGATTATAATAAAAAGGTAGGAGATAAAATAAGCAAAAAAACGATAAAATCTAGGTCAGGTGCACTATCCAACTCATAAAAGCGAAATTTCAATTTGGTCCAAACTTGCATATGTCAATATTTGAAGGTTAACCCACATATCTTATCTAGTGGGTTAACATTCACCCATATTCTACTTGTCGACATCGACACTAATTTCATATTCCGTATGGCCTCGACTGTTTATTATTTCCAACTCTTCTACTAATTTATTGATTTAAATTTGAATTTGTTATTTATTTTGAAATTTTCCATTTTTATTTTATTTTGAAGAAAAAATAAAACGACAAAATCAGAGCCAATACACAAATACAAATACAATACAAAAATGTCGGAAATAGCATCAAATGTTAGAATAAGTTTAGATTTGTTCGAATTGGTCAGCTTTGGCACGAATTATTAAACGGCCTATGAAACCGTCACACGTTGCCCAAATGTTGTTCTGCGGTATTTTGGCCCATTCCCGGCGAAGCCCTTGCTTAAGGTGATCGACACTTTGGTATTTTTTAGTGCCAACTTTGCTTTCCAAAATACTCCAGACACAATAGTCCAACGGATTGGTATCCGAAGATTTCGGTGGTCATTGTGCTCTGGAAATGAAGCGAGGAACCTCATTTTGTAACCATTCTTGGGTGGCACGCGCTGAGTCCTGTTGGAATGTCCAAGGTCTGTGGCCAAAATGTTTGCGTGCCCAAGGCTTTAATACACCCTCCAGAATATTTTCGCGATAATATTCGGTATTTATTCTGATGTCACGGTCGATTAAAACGAGCGGAGAGCGAACATCGGCTGTTATCGCGGCTCACACCATCGCCATGGCCGGCGTTTGAGTTTTGGTGGCCAACCGAAGATGCACATTTTCAGCTGACCTCTTTGCCAAGTAATCACGATCATTTTGTTTGTTTACAAACTGCTGGACAACGAATGTTTTCTCATCGGAGAAAACCAAGTTCGGCAGTTCACCATTTTCGGCCAAGCGAAGCAATTCTTTAACTCTTTCGAGTTTATTTTCTTTCTGTTGCGATGTAAGTTTTGGCACTTTTTGGAATTTCAATGGCTTTTCCACGAGCTCATTTTTTAATATTTGCCGAATGGAATATTGCGATATGATCAGCTCATGAGCCATTTTCCGCCACGACGACGCGGGTTTCGATCGAGTCGAATCTTCACTTTTCGAACCATTCCTGGAGTGCTCTAATGATAGCCACTTGTGGTTTTCTAGCCAAATATATTCCGAATAACTTTTTTCTGAAAAATTCTCACCAAGATGCTTTTGTACGCTTGTAAACAATTTAATGAGCTGTCACTGGAATAATTTTAACAGCTGTCGGACGACTGGATTAGAAATGACAGAAGTCTGAAGTTGGTTGCAGTTTTTTCATCTCACCCTGTATATATGAGACTTATGTTAACACTTACATCCAGGCTAAATTCGTTTCTATCTTAACACTTACCTCCAGGCTAAATTCGTTTCCATTCATCCATTTGATGCAAAATAAATTTGAATTCGAGTAAAGATATATATGGGAGCTATATCCAAATCTAAACCGATCTTGATAATTGTTGGCAAATGTATTTCTGAGCAGTTTTTTATATATTTCTTCGAATATCGTTGTTACGGAATGCATATTATGACTGTGGAGGTTACATACATAACATGAAATATAAATTTCAAAACAACAAAGTTCTTCTTAAATCACAATATACAAAGCCTATGTCTTTTAGACTCAAATCCAACCGACGTGAGCCAAAGAGATAATTTCCTATGGCAATTGTATGCCATAAAATAATAATGACAGATAGTAGGTTCTTTTATAAAAGAGGATTCCGCTTCTAACGCTAAATGGCCGATAACACTGAGCATCAAGGTCATTGAATCACTATTAATTAAAAAAAAAAAATATTTAAAATTAAGAAATTCATTAAAAAATATTTGTTTTTAAATATCTGCATTCGAGTTCCATTTTAAACTGCAAATTCTAGTGAAGCCAGTTGGAGAACACAGTCTTAAGTCTTAAAAATTCCATAAAGTGGGCGGTAATGTTATATGGGCGCAATAACAAAACGAAAACTCACTTAGGGAATTTTCCCATTCCGGGAAAAAGTGTTACTGAAGTACAAAACAACAAAATGTCGAATATCGGGAGGTACCGTTATAAAGGGACTAGAAGAAACGTGGATATATAGACAATGTTCTGTTCGAGAGTATACTATTAACGTGTGGTAAAACTTGAATGCCAACTGAAGAGAGAACGCACAAAAAATGACGTTATCTTTTACTAAAGCGTGATTTTTAGCTATTAAATTTTGTCAACACTGGTAAAAGCAGCTCATACACGTCTCATGTTCTGTTTCACTGTCAAATAGCTTCAGTTTTGTCATAATTTAAGCAGGGATCGTGTTACAAATGTACAGCGATGGCAAATCGTTGAATATAACAAAATGCGGGCTCCGTTAAAAAAGTCAACTGTGCGCTTCCTCCATTTTGCTATATAGCTCATTGCATGCATACGTAAATAAGCAGAATTATGGACTTTGAAGTACAGATCAGCCAGTAGAAAAGTCACATTTTGGTGAGATTTATGGGCGGTTGGCATCATTGGACCGTACTTCTTTAAATATGCTTCAAAATGATATCCAACTTCTTTTGCCCAAGATTAAAGTGATTGACTTGCATTACATGTGGTTTTGACAAGACAAAGCTTTTTGAAATGTGAGTTCGATGAACATTTTATTTCACGTTCGAGACCGGTCAATTGACCGCCTAGATCGTGCGACGTAACGGCCTTTATACAATTTTC